GGAAGGGCGGAAACATCGAGTGGAGGGGTGGGGCAAGGGCAGGGAAATATGATGGAGTACCTTAAAATTTGAGCAAAAACGCATGATCGCATCGGCTCGCCTAGTGCGTTCCAGCCTGGTTTGAAATTTTTCGGGATAATATCTCTGCAGTAGTTCTGAAGGGGCATGAGAGAGATAGCGGTTGGGGAAGAACGAATGAGGACTAGAGACAGGCGAAAAACGAAAATTTCAGGGTTTGTGGAAAATCCCAAGAGCAATTAGCTCTGGGAGTATATAATATTTCTTGAGCCAAACCCAAAAACGGACACATTTTTAAATGGAAACTCGTGGATCAAAAGTTCGCGGAGAACATTAGGTGAACTTTTTTAAAGCAATTCAGTGAACAATTTCAATAAAAATTTATTTGAAAATACTTGTTGAATGTTCGTTTTTACAACGATAAAACACTCTTTCTCACTGCTACCGATTCTCTTCGCTCGGACGAATGATCCAGTGAACTAGTTCACTACCGAAAGCAAAATGCGCCACTATAAACAGTTGCAGTAATATGAGCGGCTAAAAAACATTTATAAAAATATCCGATTATAAAAACTGTGCAATTGATATTTTATTCAAATTGTGCTATTCTATGTATGTACAAACACACACACACACTCATATCCGAAGTGGTAGCGTTGCCATTGGATTGAACTTAAACAACGCACCATTATGTTCGCCAATGTGGAGATAAATACACTATTTTAATGAATAATAGCTTTTATAGCTTTTATAGTAGAAGAAAAATTGCACTGATTATAGTGAAAAATTGCACCGATTAAAGTCAAAAAAATTTGCTTAAAAATGGAAAGGGCTAAAAATAAGTGCAACGCACGTGAAGCGAGTAAGGCAGGGGAATGGATGCAGGGAGAGAAGAAAACAGAAAAAGGTTGAAGATGGCTGTTAAAATGTAGTATTCGTATTCCAAAATCATTATTGGTGAGAACACCCTCGAACAATATCATTTTGCCCTTTTTGCACACCTTCACACCACGGCGTTGAAAATTACCCTTATGATAGCTAGATTTGTTCATGCTTATCTTCTTTTGAGAAATTTCAGGCCACTGAACAAAATGTCTTCATACCTGTTTTGCTGGGAAACAACAGTCAGTATCACTGTTTTTCTGTTCGCTTCCTCGTGCATTCTTTAAAAGAAAGCAGTAGTTGGGTTCTGAATTTGCTCGGCAAAGCCGCAGATGAGCATTCTTCCTGAGAACAAGTTTAGTATGTTTTTAGAATTTAATATGTTTTTGCAAAATCTGATGCAAAACTAATTTGCAGTGCAGTTCCCGGTGGGGTGTATTCGCATCGGAATGTGAAGCGGAAGCATCGCACGGTGAGTGCAGCGCACGATGCCGCGAGCTTATGAATGAAACATTGAAAACGCAGCAAGGTGCGACATTCGCTAGCTGTACCTGCACCGACAAAGAAGATAAATTGTGCGTCCATCTTAAGGATGTCATCCTACAGACCTGCATCACGGTGAGTCTTTTGCAGTCGTCTTTACCTTGGTGCGATTATCATCTAACTCTCTTTGGAACAATTAGTGTTTTAGCAGAACTCTGGCAAAAGTTGAGGAGGCAAGGTACCATGCATGCAGCAGAGTGACCAGGGATAATCGGCGCTGAAAGCGCACCGACCGTTGCTGTAACTTTAACATTGCACATAACTGATCCCGAGACAGTGAAAATAAGGAGTTCGTGTTCGTTCCTCCGCATGCTACTGACATCTATTAAATGACGGAGCACAAGGTCGAATTCATTGGGTAATCGCTAGTGACCAACAGGATCATCGCGCACAACGTAGCATCACGAGTTCCACTGTTCGCTTTCGGCTTTGTACTCCTAAGTAATATCCTTTG